CGGGTGGGTGAGGAGCCGGGCTTCGGCAACCCGGGACTGACCTGCTGCGTGGCTCCAGGTCAGCTCTGGCCCAGAAACCAGATCCCCGGGCCCCCTACAGGCCTCCCACTCCTCCTGGCCCCACCCCGTCCCCCACTCCCCAAACCCTCACAGGAGTCCCAGCAGGGCAGCCAGGTTTGATTTCCAGTTATCCAGAGGTGCAGAATCCACCCCTGCCATGGGAGTTTTTTCCGATGACTCAGCAGATTAAATTCAATATTGATAAATGCAAAGTGATGCACACTTTGGAAAACATAATCCCAACTATTCATATAAAATGATGGGGTCTAAATTAGCTGTTACCACTCAAGAAAGTGATATTGGAGTTATTGTGGATAGTTCTCTGTAAACATCCACTCAATGTGCAGCGGCAGTCAAAAAAGCCAACAGAATGTTGGGAACTATTAAGAAAGGGATAGACAAGAAGATAGAAAATATCCTATTGCCTCTACATAAATCCATGGTACGCTCACATCTTGAATCCTGTGTGCAGATGTGGTCCCCCCATCGCTAAAAAGATCTATTGGACTTGGAAAAGGTTCAGAAAAGGGCAATAAAAATGATTAGGGGTTTGGAATTGCTGCCGTATGAAGAGAGATTAATAAGACTGGGACTTTTCAGCTTGGAAAAGAGATGACTAAGGGGGGATATGATAGAGGGCTATAAAATCATGACGGGTGTGGAGAAAGTAAATAAGGAAGTGTTATGTACTCCTTCTCATAACACACAAACTAGGGTCACCAAATGAAATTAATAGGCAGCAGGTTTAAAACAAACAAAAGGAAGTATTTCTTTCATATAATGCACAGTCAACCTGTGGAACTCCTTGCCAGAGGATGTTGTGAAGGCCAAGACTATAACAGGGTTCAAAAAAGAACTAGATAAATTCATGGAGGATAGGTCCAACAATATCTATTAGCCAGGGTGTGCAGGGATGGTGTCCCTTGCCTCTGTTTGCCAGAAGCTGGGAATAGGCAACAGGGGATAGATCACTTGACGATTCCCTGTTCTGTTCATTCCCTCTGGGGCACCTGGCATTGGCCACTAGCGGCAGACAGGATACTGGGCTAGATGGATCGTTGGTCTGACCCCGTGTGGCCGTTCTTATCACCCTCCCTGGTAAACATCTGGGCCTTACATCTCACAGGCATGTGTCTGGCTTTAGCTCCAGCCACCGGTTCTGGTTCTGCCCATCTCTGCTAGACTAACGGGCCCGTTAGCACTAGTGTTTTCTCCCCAGAAAGGTCCCTGCGCATCATGATCCAGTCACCCCATGGTCGGCCGGTGTCCGCACTTGGTACAGGGAAACCGGACAGGGGTCAGAAACGAGCTGCAAGCACCCAGGGCTGGAAACCCTGCCTCACAACAAGCGACTAAAGAAGCTGGATCCAGGCCGCTCCTCGGACGAAGGGCGAGGAGACCTGCTCGCAGTCTGTAGGCACCTGCCTGGGGAGAACACTGCTGACACGGGGGCTCTTTGATCCAGCAGACAGAGGTGGAAGGAGAACCACGGCAAAGTTCAAACGGGAAATCGGAGACCTGTTTACCAGGGAGGGTGACCGGCCACGGGAACAGCTTCCCAGGGATGGGGCAAGTCTTCCACGGCTTGCGGTCGCTACGCTGGGAGGGGCCATCTGCCCAAAGCCCACCACTTACTGGGCTCCATGGTGCCACTAACCCACGAGACTTCAGTCCCATGCAGGAGTGACGGGGTGACGCTCTCTGGCCTGTGCGATGAACAGGACCAGCCCAGCCAATCACAACGGTCCCTGCCGGCCGTACAATCGGTGACATGTATCCGTTACCCCCACACACACCCAAATCCTTTCTCCGTTGCTGTAGCTAGACCGTAAGGTTCTGGAGCCAGGACCGTGAGCACAGTCCAGGTGCCCAGCCCTGACTGGCATCCCCTGGCACTGCTCTAATAGAAACATCACCCACGGGCAATGCCCGCACCAGAGACAGACACCGGCCACCAGCCGGCCCCTGCAGACAGGAGCAGCTGGTTTTCCTGCCCCTTCTCTCCAGGGAGGCACTGGCCTGCCACCTCCAGGTCTGGGCCCGCCAAAGAACTGACCTGATGGTGAGCCCGCCCTCGGGTTTGATGACCTGCCGCTCTCGCCCGGCCTCCTCCTCCAGGGTCTTGATAATGAACCTGAGGCCAGCTAGCTGCAGTCCC